AAATCCAGAAGGTATTCAGGGACATCGGAAGGAGTGTTCCTATAAGGACTTCATGAACGCAAAACCGACCTTCTTCGATGGCACAGGGGGTGTTATTGCTCTAACTCGGTGGTTAGAGAAAATTGAATCTATCTTCGAGATTTGCGCCTGTTCGGAATATGATAAGGTGAAATTTGCCACCTGTATGCTCACTGATAAGGCCTTGACTTGGTGGCACGGCCGAGTCAAATCCCTGACTTTACCTATAGCAAATGCTATGGGATGGGAAGTTATGAAGGAACTACTACGTGCGGAGTATTGCCCTCGGGGTGAAATCCAGAAACTAGAACATAAGCTGTGGAACCTGAAGATGAAAGGTTCCGATATCACCTCTTACACTTCAAGGTCAAGGTTTGATGACTTGGCACTTCTTTGTCCGGGAATGGTTACTCCGGAAAGCAAGAAGGTAGAAAGGTTCATCTGGGGATTAACTCAGCCGACCAAAGGGAACGTTGTTGCAGCAAATCCAGATACCTATGACAGCGCCAAGTGTCTGGCACAAACTTTGATCGATCAAAATGATGACCAAGAAGAAGCAGACACCACTCCCGAATCAACAGAAAAGAGTGGCGAGAAAAGAAAGTTTTGGAAAAAGAAGAAGAAGAGTCGGTCTTCCCCAGAACCCTCAAAGAAACAGCAAATAGTGGCGGTCCACGCTGCCACTATTCCTGCTGTTGTTTCTGTTGTCAATTCCACATCTCAAGTACCTGTTACCGGATATGTCGGTACCCTCCCGTGGTGTGATCGATGTAACTACCACCATCGCATCCCTGGCCCTTGTCGTGCAAAGTTCTATAGAAACTGTGGCCAGGAAGGTCACCTCGCACGAACCTGCAAAACCTCAACTCCATCAACTAGTCAAGCTTCCGGAGCTGGTATCGGTCAAACCTGCTACAGCTGTGGAGAGGTTGGGCACTATAAGCGAAACTGTCCAAAGACAGTAGCATCTAGCAACACCGGGAGAGTCCTAACTTTAAGACAGGAAAGAACAATCACCGACCCCACCGTTGCCACAGGTATATTTCTCCTTGAAGAATCTTGTGCCCGTAATCCTTTTCGATTCTAATGGCGTAAGAAATTGCTAGTCATTCATTCAAACATCTTTCTAAACTAAATCCTTCGTTAGTAATCGAAACGTGCACCGTCGAGGTGACCAACCAGTGAGAAAGAAAACGTTAGCGCCATACCCTTAGATCGTATCCTCAATTCGGATGATTATCCCTTTCTATTTTATCTAAAGGTAAACCTTTCATGGAAAGCTTTGATGCAAACTTGGCATGGAATGACTTAGTTTCATTCATGTTTTTATTCCTGTCTTCGAAAGGGTCGTCCATCCGAATCTTTTCTCCGAACCAACTCTAATGATCTTCGGCATCAAACCTAAATCCGACCTTCGCATCTTCGTGCATCAATGCTTAGAAAGTTTCACGTACATTCCCCGTTCGTGTGATATTCGGAAAACGGGATGTCTACAGCTCTTTCCCCAATGCCTTTTCCAAGAATCCTCGAGAATTCCTTCCAAACGGCTAGTCAAGCCTTGTATTAACCTAATTCTTGGAACTGTCTCATAACCGAATCTTCGGGAGGATGATATATCCAATACAGCGACCAGGACCTGATCACCACGAGTTCGTAGTGACGCCCTTCGATTATACCATTTTTCCTTGATTAGGTAGATAAGCAAGGCAAACCTGTAACTTAGTAACATTCCTATGATACTTCATGTCTCAGTCCTTAAGAAGTATCTACCCAACGAAACCAAGACACGTCCCGATAAGTGAGGGTTCGCTGGAACGTTAAGCGGAGACCCAATGCCACTTGGGAGCGTGAAAACCAGGAGCAGTTGATCCATCTGCATCTCTTTTCATTTCATAATCTGTATCTTAATCTTTGAATTTCGGGACGAAATTCCCTCTAACGGGGGGATAATGTAACAACCCGAAGTTATTCATCGCCGAAAAACCCATTCTACCCGTATAACTCGTCGTATATCGATTCGTTCCGATGTCGTTTTTGGGTTAAATTAATTAAACTTATATGTTTAATTGATGCTAATGAGTGTCCAAACCTGTTAGGAACTCACGAAATTAGCCCAAATTGTATAACTTAGAAATTTTAGAAACGTCCCCGTCGAATTACGGAAACTTAATCGGGTGCGACCAAAAGCCCGTTTAACGTCGGTATCGGGTAGAATTCCACCGTGTCCAAAACTTAGACACTACTTAAAGTGATCTAAGCACTCATTTGAAGCTTTTTCTTCCTCTCTCTAACCTCTCTCCTAAAATCCAAGTTTAAGGGTCCAAATCATCAATTTTAGACTCCAAATCTTTGAGGAATCTTGTGCGTTTGCAAACCCAGAACCGACGTTTAGAATCCAAACTGATGCGTTTTCCAACCGGTGAGTTCATACCCCTACCCCTTTTCACTATTTTCTATGTTTTCAGGGGGGGGGGATACAAGCAATAAGTACAAGTGTATTTTGTACTTAAAACTGATTTTTAACTCAATGGTTTTACTTACTAAATGTCTTGATTTCCAAATATTTGTGATAACTAACGTTTCGAATTGCAGGTTAAATATAGATTTCTTTTAAAAAGTGTTATAACTATATTCTCTTTAAATAAGAAATCAAACTAATCTAATACGAATACGAATACGAATGTAATCTAATACGAATACGAATACGAAGGTAATCTAATACGAATACGAAGGTAATCTAATACAAATACGAATACGAATGTAATCTAATACAAATACGAATACGAATACGAATGTAACCTAATACGAATACGAATACGAATGTAATCTAGTACGAATACGAATAGAAATACGAATAGGAATACGACTAAGAATAGGAATACGACTACGAATACGAATACGACTACGAACACGAATACGACTACGAACACGAATACGACTACGACTACGAATACGACTACGAATGCGAAAATACGCCTCTGGACCTCTACCGAGTTTCGAATACATCCGCCTCAGAATGTCGACAGAGCTTCGAATATAAGAATAATGTACTCTTTTGGAAACAGTAGAACTTCAAAAATACTATAATTTACGCTTCTGTATGATTCCAAATATTCGAAAATACAACTAAGTTAGTAGATAATAGTCATTCGAATGTAGAATAACTAAGGGTTTAGAACACGTAACTAATACTACTCACATGTTCATTACTATTACTTCGAAATCAGACCTAAGAGCCAACCACCACACATAGGAAAATATGGGATTTTCCTGGGATAGCATAACAACCAGTAACAAACCTAGATACAATTAGACAACTCAACACATAGGAAAATATGGGATTTTCCTGGATAGTACAACAACACATAAACGGATAAAGTAACAAACAAATAACTAAAACAATAAGGAAAATATGGGATTTTCCTGGAATGATATAACCAACCGTTTTCGAAATTGTAACAAAGGATAATCAAACCGTTTTCATAAGAAAATATGGGATTTTCTTGATCAACAACTTTTCAGATAGCAAAGGAAACTCGTTCTTTTCAAAACTAAACCACTTATGAACTCACCAACTTTATGCTGATTTTCAAACTGCTTGTATTCTCAGGTCAACGTTAGACAGGTACATCACAACCTTTTGGAGAAGACGGAGCATCCCGAAGACTCGTCTTTACTTTTGTTCATATCATATATGTATAAAACACTTGTACAACTTTACTTGCAAATAGATGTAAACAATATTATGTAATGTAATGTTTTGTGATTACTGCTTTACTATGTGCATTGGATTTGATACTTAACGTGGAGTCCGCCCCGGAAACGTTTCCGCCTTTGGTTTTCGGGGTGTGACACAATATCAGTTAAGGATAAGGCTCCATAGTAACCATCAATGAAAACCTTTAAATATTCAAAACCAATCATAAAATATTCCTGGTTCACCACTTAAAGCTTCAAAACATCAACTGACTTTAAGATCTTAGCAACCATCAAAAGATCATAAAGATTCATCAAATAAAAAACAACAACTGAGAAGTTGAATACAACGTTGTTTGCTCGGATAGCATATTATCGATAATTCTGTAACATACCCTCGAATAGCATATCTTTGGATATGTTAAGAACTCGGACTATTTTGATTAATGACCAAAATCTTCTTCATTCTTTCCTAGAACTGCATGAAAATGAAACTTCATTCTTATGAACTCTTCTTTATCCTTGAATTTATTTGCAAGTTCGAATTGCTCATCAAGAAACATCATAAGATTGATTAGAAAGTCCAACTTATTGAAATCAGTGTTCTCGATGTCATAAATTTTCTTCGGAGTCTAGTTAAATGAATGCATTTCACCAGAATGAACAATAGCTTCAATGTATTTGTAACTGTAATGCTTTGCAGGATCTCCCTTGTTTAAACCTGGTGGATCATCAGCTCTAATTCGAAGAATACTTTGAATTTGCCTTTGTCTCTCTAACTCTTGTTCCAAAGCAACTTTCTTCACTTCAGTTATGGGTTCATGCAAGATGCCCTTTCCTTTATTTTGCATCTTTTATATGGTAGGAGTAGGTTTCGAACTTGTTCCTCCACCAGCAGAATTTCCAATAATAATTCCTTTTGTAATAGGCTTCGTTGTTGTTGTAGTTAATGTTGAAATTGTAGAAGCAGTTATCAAAGAAGTAGGGATTTAAGTAGATGACACCTTACCCACAACCTTTTGCATTTACATCATTCTTGTTTGAAGAGTTACCACTAGTTCCGAACCTTGACCCCTTGCCAACACCTGCCTTTTCTCCTCTTTGCACCCATGTGAAAACAGATGGGGCATCTGTTGGCATAATATTAACAATTTTTAAAGAGGGGCTAACTCCTTATGAATAGAAGATTCAAGTAGTGAAAACTTTGTGGAAAGAAGTTTAGGAGTTATTAAGGAAGACGAAACTAGATTTGTCTGCAATACAAGACCCTTCAACTCAACCAACAACTAATTAATATTCGCAAAGCTTTGAACATCTGTATCAGCCGTTTTGGCAACCTTCGGAACCAAAGACTCATATAACTTGACAAATTTGGTGACAACATCTGCAATGATATCAAACTTCTGATGAAGAGAAGAATAATCATGTTGTAAAGCTGAAACTTCTTTTCCAATATCTTCCCTCAATTCCTGAATTTTCAGATTTACATCTTCTCGAACTTTCTTCACATCTTGAATAAACAAAATGTGCCCTTCCTTCACAATCGCCTTTAAATATTTCAAATTAGAAGTAAAAGACATAGATTGTGCCTTCATCCGTTTTTCATTTTGTCGATCTGCATCTGTAATGGCATCGAGAAGTCTGTTCTCCTGACGCTTTAACAAGATATCAACTTCAAGACTTGACACATAATTCTCACCCCCTCCATCAGCTTGAAGTTTCAGAAGAGAATTAACCTTTCTATTGAGGATTTTAAATTGTTTCCCTGTAAGCAACATGTTATCTGAAATGTTCTCCTCATCGGGATCTAACTCGATGTCAGCAAAAGTACCATCAAACTCATCATCATCATTATTATGTTCTTCTTCTTCGTGATTGATTGGTGGATCATTGGATTAGGATGAAAATAATGAGGTAATGGGTTGATTGAGGATATTATCAAATGTGGGTGAATGGGTAATAATAGGAACAATAGAAACAAATGGAGGTAACGAAGTAGAAGTATCGATTGTGGAAGTGTCAAAAGTTGATGAAATGACAAGATTAGGAGTACTTTGATCTTGAAAATCTTTGTTATTAGAGACTCTGTCACCCATATTGACATTTGCACCCATATCAGATACGTTTACAGTGATGCCTGAGGTTTGAACCTCCTCATGAAATGATTCGGTATTCGAAACCTCGGGTGATGTGAAAATTGTCTTCACAGGAGTAGAAACCTTCATTGAATCACCCCGATGAATGGTTGTGTCCTCAACAGATGTTTCCGCAAAATCATCAATATTTACAGTGGTCTCAGCATTTGACTTAACTAGAGAATTCTGCACAGGTGATGATTCAGCATCATGGATTAGAGACTCAGGTACAACATCCTCTTCCCTGGAATCATCACAAATTACCAACTTTAAGAGTTTCTTCTTCTTCTTCTGATAAACATGTTTTGTCATATCTCTTGCCCTCCTTTTCTTTGATGCATGAGAAACTGGTACATGCACTTCTCGAAAGATAACCCCCTTTCGATTAATTTGTAGTTTTACTTTGTAAGTAGGACAAAAACTTCATGACTTTTCTGAGGAATGGGATTGTTTGTGAGCCATCATTTTCAAGTTTTTCAAAATGCGAGACTTCGACGGTAAAACTTCTGAATCTGGTTTCAAATCAGGCTTATGAGCAACTATCGGTGGTGGTTCAATGTGTACCTTCTTTTGGGAGTTGGCTTGACAACCTTTTCAGATTTTGTAGGTGAAGATTTCGAAGTACTTTCAGTTGTACTTTTCTTGGATCCCTTCCTTGCCTTCTAAGGACCAGTAGTAGGAGATAACAAAACTCCAGTTTTGATGTCTGGATTTATCTTCTTCAAATACTTCACTAGAACAGGATAAGCAAGATCAACTTTGTTAAGCATGGCATCAGGAATGCGAGCAACTTTTGGAAAGATATCAACATCATCTTCAATTGTTTTAAGAAAATGAAACATTGAAAATTCTGCAATCTCTTCGTTATTAGGAACCATGATCCCTCCTTCTCATAGGCAAACTTAAGAATAATGCTCCAGTATCTAGCACATGAAATACAATCGACAAAATTAGTGTTTCCAACACTTTTTACAAACTCATTCCACAATTGAGTTGCATAGTCCGCCTGTAAATCATAGTACTGTTGGGTTTTGAGCAATCTAACACTTCCTAAGTGTGCATGCAACCCTAATAAACCTTGGATCTATGTTTGTCTAAATACATGCAAAATAATAATTTTCCAAGGTTTATAACCTATCTAACATGGCATGGGGAACATTTCAACATAAAGAGTTAGAAGAGATTACATACCTTTTTGATGAGTTTGGTTCTTGAGGAGTTTGAGGGCCAAGCACCAATAGTGTGAATGCCTCAAATGGAATCACAAAACACCACAAACTCTTGGAAAACTTTGAGAGAGTATATACACTTGTATATTTCGGCCACACACAAGCTCACACACACTAGTTCACTAGTTACACTTAGGCACCATTTCATGCTCCATAAGCATGCTTATATAGTGTGCATGGTTAGGGTGAAACCCTAATAACCCATGACCTTTCCTTTCCAAGGATCCATGGGTTAAAAGATCATCCATGGACTTCCATATAAGCCTAGCCCATTAACAAAAGAGCATTAGCCCACACTATATAAAACCAATAGCCCATAATCTAATTAGTCTTCCTTTTAATCTCTAAATTAATTCATAATTAATTTAAGACTAAAACTAATTAAATAACATAATCTCATATTAATATATTATAACTTATAATATATTAATAAACATATGTGTATAACTCTCATAAAATTATCCATAAATAGTTTGGATGAGATGCAACCCAAATGGACCATGCCGGGTCGGGTCAAGTATATACCAAATAAGTTATGGACTTAGACACCTTATCCAACAGACTCCCACTTGGATAAGTCTAATAACTATATTTGCGTATGTTACTTCAGGAACCAACCAGCAATCGTAGCTCTCGAAAACTCCGTTGAACTATGAAGACTCTGTTGAACTATGAAGCGCCATTTTAGATAAGTGATCATATAATCCTCTGTCTCATGATATCAGCCGGACAAATACATGGAACAACGTCGTACTTATTGTCCAGCAGTTTGTTTCCCGATTTCCGATTTGTTTGACAAAGAACTTAATCGAACACATCAATTTAGTTCTGACCGGCCGGTACATAGGTCACAACAAAATCATCGAGGGGCCCAGATATCGCTTCTATTTCTAGAAGGAACAGATAAACTTCGACTCATATGCTTGTTCTACTACTTGTTGAATTGTACACAAAGGCACGTTTTATAACATCAAGTTACTGATGCGTTTACGTGCAATCAATGCACAACCAACTCATAGGTAACAACTCATATCTCTAGGTTTGAAGATTTATATGATATTACCGTCTCACGATCACTCGAGATAAATTCCATGAAGTGATACAAGTGAGCGTGGGTTTATTCCAATACTCATAACTTATGAGCACTCATGAATGTTGTAGCAACCATTGCTATGACTAAACCCATTTAGCCATCTACAAACCCGATTCATGACAGTCTTGATTCATACCTACTTCCAACATATGAACGACTGTGGAGTGTTTAAATAACTTAGTCATTCGAAAGAATAACCTAGCTATTTTGGAAGTCAAAACATGCAAAGTGAAACACAATAATAATCGAATCCAATATGGTCTCAGAACCCTTTTGAATATAAATAGAACCACCTTTTATTTATCACCATATTGATTACACATTATTCATTGTATAATGTTTCAAACAATCAACTTAAGACTTGAATAAAAACAACAGTCGTCCCATGCTCCTAGCATGTACACTTTGTTTTTCTAAACAATAGTTATGCCATACTCCAAGTATGCACACTATGTTTGTCTATGATCCTTACATTGTGATGTAGATCAATTGAACATGATTCCAATGATACTCATTTCACAATCCCAAATCCTTATTGTAAATGTGAGAATCCCCGATTCCTATCATTTACCAAAAATCTGTTAGATTTTAAACTTTTATGCAATGTTCCTCTTGTAATGATTATTCACAAAGTCACCAAAACCTTGTCACCAGTCATTACAGAGTATTCCAAAGAAGGTCAACTTCTATGGAACGGAAGTCTCATATTCAAAGTACATTGCTTTGAACATCCTTCTTGCATTAAGGTTTTCTAATCTTACATAGATTGAATAACTTCCACCTATGGAGACATTTCCATAGTCCCATTTTGACTATCACTTCCGAACAAGAGTTACTTCTTTTCAGAACATGTCAATACGGTCCTTTCCGACAACTTACATCATACTTCCAACTTTCCCTGAGCAACCAATCTTTGGCGAACCTCAGATTGTCCTCGACAATTGCTTAATCACTTTAGTCATATCCAGTTCTAGACTTTTCCCTTCTCAATGCCTTAAGCATTTGGAAAATTTAGAAAAGATGAATATTATAGCACATGAAATCGATCCTATATCCGAAGCATATGGGACACGATTCATGATGTTCACATAAAGACATGATACTAGACCAGTCTTTTGCTACAATATTTTTTATTTGCCATGTTTTCAAAATTTAACTATGAAGAGGGATGCCGTAATCATAATCGAATTTTGAAACGCAATATATATAGAATTTCTTCAAGTTGAACCATTCAACACAAAATTCATATATATTCTTGACTAAAGATGATTAAAATCTCAATCTAAGCTTCTAGAATTGAAATGAAGTATAATTTCCTCTCCCTTAATTATAGCAAAACAACTTTTCAACCCCTGCAACTTCACGAATTGAAACTTTGTTTTCTATAATTAACATTGCTAACTTGCAACACTAAACGTAATAATCATGCTCCCACTAACATGATGATTATCAGCATAACACTTATGCTCCCACTAGCTCTGACATATTTCCAGAAATCTGCTGGACTTCTGAAATTTAGATTCATACACCCTTTCTTAGATAGCTCACATGTGTGTCTAAACAATTTTCAGAACTATGAAAAGGGATGCCGTAATCATAGTCTCAATTGCTTAGGCATTTGCCATTTCTCACAAGTCCATGTTAGTGTGCCGGTTAACCACACACGCTCCACTAACGACTTTTGAAAATGCAAATAACACAATTGATATCTACGTAAAATCTACTTAGTGAAAGCGTTTCCTCACCATCATTTTCATGAATCGGAGAGAAACCTTATGACACTTAGATTTTATAGTGTATGAGTTCCTATCCATGTGAATTTGTCAAAACCATAATCACAAGATAAGGTTAGTGACAAATTCAGCCTTACATGGATTAAACTTGTTCAATCTTAGTTTCTTGTCACCTTGGTAGCACAAGGCCCACCAATGCTTCCAAGTTGAACTCTGATAACTCACATGCAAATTCAACTTATTTGAAGTAGGTACAGAAATAAGAATTATGTCAACACGATAGGTTGCAAACCTTAAGTCGTGTGCTAGTGATAAATTACAGGTTTTACTCTTGATTAAATCTTGAAACTCTTTCAGGATCTTTAAGGCTCCCACTGTCCCCTTGACATATAAGTTTCCCCAGTCAAGAACCATTCCTTGACAAAACAAATATTCAAGGGATAGTGCGGATTCTTATCAAGACTAACACTTCACACAATTGGTCTTAGTTGGTCTTTGTCTCATCCAAGACATCACAACTTACCAATCTCAAATGTACAAGAGTAGAAAACATTTTACTCTTACATTTGACTAGTGTTAATAAATCTTCCTTTATGTCACTCAAGGTTACAATCTTGGAGTATGACTCTAAGAATTGTTTTGGAACGAAGTATGACTCATCTTCTTGATTTTAACCAATCCAACAATTCATGACCTCTCTTCTTAGCCATAACAATGCACTAAGACGTCCTTAGAGTATGAATTTGTGATATGGTTTCATAATCATTAAGATGATCATGAAATATGATACTAAAGTACTCTCCCATCCTTTCAGATTTGAGAAACTTTTATCTTTCTGCCTAATTTGATTCTTCTCATTTGTTTTGTCATACATTGTAACCTTTCCAATGTTACAGAATTATACTTAACCTTATAAGTATAATCATATTTACTAATCTTTAGTAAATCATGACAAATCAATCTTTGTGGTGGACCTTGACCAGCGCACACCCAGTGTACCTAATTCCTTAGTCCTTCAATTGACTCACATATACATGTGATCAAAGAATTAGTCTTAATTTTCAAAGATGAAAATTCTCATTCATCATACAATACAACTTGTATGATTCCAAGTTTCTGTCCAATTGAAACTTGGGTGATGAAAAACTTTCTTCATTTGGTAAATTCAGACACTACCACAAATGAAAGAATCAAATCCACTTTCCAATATTGCTATTACTGGAAACATATAAGCAACAATTTTCCACAAATGCCATT